ANAGAAATTTCTATTAAGGGGGGCCCAGGAAACGAGCATTTAAAAGACAAGATTAAGTTTTTTTTTGTTTTGTTTTTTAACTGAAACGTATAACCTGTTGTAAGATGAACACATTAGCTGTGCGTTGCTATCAAAAGCTGACAGCTATGAAGTCTTCAACTTAAAACTGATTTAAGGACGAAAACTAAAACCTCATTAATTGACATGGTGAACATGGTATAAAGCAAAATAAGGTTCGTAAACCTACCGTGTAAAGTGACGTTGACTGCGTTGCTGAACTTTCCGGATCCAGACTCGCACCAGAACACCGCTTTCTGGTACCAGCGACTGCTGAAGGTGCACGTGCGTCCGGTCATTTTCCCCCAGACGGAGCAGTCCGATATGTCGGACGGGTAGTACTGTCTGAACCGCCTCACTTTCCAGAGAATAGAGGGTCCGCTACACGTCAGTCGGATTTCATCGACGGTGTAGTGCTTTATTTTCTTCGGAGTCAGTGTGAGAGACGCTGCTGAGTGAGAAACTGAAACGCAAAAGGACAAAGACACCAAATTAACCCTGTAAGTCCTAAGCTGAGCGCCGGAGATTCAGTCGAATTTGCGGGACCGCAATTCCGCGACACTTTGCGCTATCTGAAAAATTCCAACGGTTTCTGAAAGGGGGAGACGTTGCGCTTTCCAGCCAATATTGGGTAACTACGGTAACTTCTCCCCAGCAGTAGCAAGGTGTGAAATTTACCTCTTTTAATAGACGGTAAATTGTAAAAAATAAGTTCCAGTTGCTATAGATAAATGGGCAAATATATTTACTCACAGGACATTGAAAGATCGACGTACAATTAAAATAAGAAAAAAACATCCAGGCGGACATTTTAAATTTATGACGAAGGGTTTTATATCAAGAGAAAAATCAACATTTTTATGTAGTTTCGAAGGATTCCCAGATTTCAACAGTTGCAGCGCTGTATTATCAGCTTCACTTTAGTAAGCCAAGCTGATAAGTCAAGTTTGGTAAAACTATCACTAAAGATGTAATTCGAATATCTTCCCAATTTCTCCACTCCTTCCAATCTGTCTTTTGGTTTATATACAAGTTATACTTTGTATATTTTTTGGTTCATTTTCGTTACCTTTAACATAAATGAAACAACACATTCTGTCAAAACATTTGTCTCCGTGACAAAAATGATCACCGACATTAAAGTTCACCAAGGAAATGATGAATGAAAACACACACTGACCTGCTGACCAGACAAACTTTGGTTCACTGAACTGAGTGAAAAGCTCCGGGTTTCCTCGTCCAGCTCTGCATGCGTATCCTGCTGTGTGTTTCTGATCATTAATTTTGTAGTAGTTGTCTTTGGTCCCTTCGTCACTGCCGGGCACCAGCAGGTATTTGTATTTGTTCTGGTAGAGTTCAGGAACAGCTTTGTACCAGTAGAACCTCCATCCTGCAGATGAAGGTTTAACCTCACAGCTCAGAGTCACTGAGGCTCCAGGACTCAGCCATGATGGAGACACAGTCAGGACAGGCCTTGTTTTAGCTGGACAGAGAAATAGTTTAGGTTTTTTTTCCCCAACTGTTAGATTTGAGTAACATTGTGAACATCTACAGAATGAGCCAAAAAAAAAAAAGAAAAACAAGACTCAGCTTTCTTAGAATTCGTCTAGACCATAAGAGGAAAAAGTGTCAGTCAGTTAGTTTTTGGGGAATGGTGGGGTTTCTAGTAATGGCAGCAGCACTACTGAGCACTTTGTAAATGCTCTGTGGAGGGTCTGAGTAGAGTCCTGTTTGTCTTCACCGCTCTATTCAGGCGTTTATGCTCTAGTACAGCTGGTTGGGATGGTCCGAACAACTCAGCTGTAGAAACTCCTGCGGATCTGAGCCGACATGCCAAACTTTATGCTTCTCCTCAGGAGAAGGAATGCAGCTGATGAGCCTTCTCGACCAGGCAGCTGGTCGAGAAGGCCAGGCAGCCAAAAACAATATCTAGTTTTTGAGTGTTTCAGAACATCAAACAAAGCTGAATATTAGTCAATGACAACACAAGTAAACCTCAAATCCACATGATCCTTTGTGAAAAAGATGATTGCCCCCTAAACCTATCTAGTTGGGCCACCCTAAGCAGCAGCATCTGCTATCAGGCGTTTGCAGTAACCTTCGGTGGGCCGTATGCAGCACTCTGGAGGAATTTTGGTCACTCGTTCCAGCTACTTTGGAGGGTTTTTGAGCATGAACCGCCTTTCTAGGGTCATGCCGCAGCATCTCACTGGAATTCAGGTCAAGGCTTTTGTCCGAAACAAACCAGAAAGTTGAGGCAAAACAAAATGAAGATATTAAAGTAAAAAAATTACCTGACGGGTTTCCACGGCAGAGGAGTACACCGAGAACTAAAGCAAAGATTGGAATTTTGTTAGATGTCAAACTATTAAATAAATCATTGCAGAAATACATACATTTACTGATGTATACATCTGGAGTTACTGCTCAAATGTAATCTTTGGGTTTTAAAATGGTTTTAAAATCCAGTAGTGTGGATCAAAGAGAGCATTTAATGAATCTGAGTTCTAACTACAGACAGCTGGTAATCTTTGACTGTTCCATGAAGTATGTCAAAGAGTAAAACTGCACACACACACACACACACACACACACACACACACACACACACACACACCCCAAGTTATTTTAATACATTGCAGGATCTTTCTGTGTTAAGGCCCTGGTTGACCTCTGTATGACCTCTGGGTTTCATCATGTATATTTACAGAATGGTTGGAACTTCAAAAAGACAAGAGATCTGCAATACTCAATCTCCTGCATTTCCCTTATAAGATTATAAAGGAATCTGAGCAGCCATGTTTCTGTGGCAACTGTTCTGGCATCAAGGTTTATTGTGCAAGGGGATCTTTTGAGGTGAGGAAACAGAAACCAGTTTGGAAGACGATGTGTCAGAGTCATAAGTTCTAGAGGAAAACTGAGATTACAGTTCCTCTGAAGGAAACGTCAGAAATAAAGTCCTTAGTTGGTCCTCATTTACTGTAGACTTGCAGCCCAGTTGGCAGTAGAATCAGACTTCATTAGCCACAAGACTGGTTACTTTTCATGCGCAGTTATCAACATTTAGGCTTTTCCTACCTTCATATGTTGAGGAAAATAAAACCTAATTCAAGGACAAATATGAAGGCATTTTTGCTTTTATGTCAGAGGGAAAACTGGGTGGTGTTATTTTTGTTATAGATTAAAAAAAAAATCCTTCACTCTGTCCTTGTCATCAATGAATCGCAATAATAGTAATCAGTTTTCTATACATGTAAAATACATCCAAAGACTAAAACTCTGTCCAGATACTTATCATGAAGGAATTCTTGGCCTATAATTAAGCTAAATACAAACTGTTTGCAAGAGTTAACACAGTCTGCATCAAACTAAACAACCAACCGACCTCAAAGAAACGACATTCTCTGATGGTTCCTGGGATTAAAGCACAAGCCGTCTTTTCTTCACACTTTAACTATGATCTGACTAACGAGACCCAAAGAGAAAAAGGGGATTTACTCACATACTACACCCAGCACACAGAGCAACGTGCGGCCCATCCTTAAATCCAGAGAGAAAGCGTTGCAGCTCCTCTGAGTCCTCCAGATATACACTCCTTTATCGCAAGAGAAACGCTGAAACTGCAGTATACACTGTAGCAAAAAAAATAATAAATGTTAACATTTACAGTAAATTACGGGCAGCAGGGCTGCCAGTCAGGTTAACACAACCTTTACAGTAACCTGACCATCATTTAATTACATTTTACATGGACAGGAGGACAGATACGGAGAGGAAAACTCAGAGAGAGAGAGACAGTGTTACTAATGTCTGTCCTTGTGTCTGAAAGACAAATAGGAGGACAGAGTCAGTGGCAGTTTGCCTTTTTTCCATAAAATGTTGCTTTGTGTTGCTTCATTTGCTCGTACCGCAGCATCGTGTGGACCAAACAGGCAACGTGAAAATGATCGCATGGTGTGGAGCTTTAAATTAAATACACAAATGGAGGATTTTTTTGTGAAATCATAAATTCTGAATGTGGTCTGAATTTTGTCTCAATCAGTTTTTGATCAAAAGGAAAACTGGAAACAAATTGAGAGGAGTGAGATGTGGATGGTTTGGTGTTACTTTGTAGCCAAGCTGATGTCACCAGGGACAAAAGTTGATTTCTGTGCTGTTTTATGTTATTTTAAATGATGACTCATTTCACTATGTGCAAAGTTTTTTTTTATTTTTATTTATTTTTTATTAGTAGACATCAAAATGTTACCAGCCATGGGACATTTTGATTTGTTGCAAAAGAAGTGCATGAAAGAAAAACTGCAAACACATGCAATATAATTCTAGAACAAGAAAAATGTGACAGGGGGGGGGGGGAAGCAGCTTTTTTCCCTCCTGCTTTTGGTTTACAAGCAAACTGACGAGCCAGTTCCTGAATCATTAGATCCAACAAACAAGACATTTGTAGTTTCATTTAAAAGTTACTGGAAGCTGCCAGCCTGATGAGAAAAGCAAACAAGTCATTCGTACCTTTTGGCCTTCAGTAATGATCAGAACACCTTTCAATACACTCAAAAAATAACTTTTGATTAAGTATGGTCATGTCAACAATTTCTGCAAAATTGTGTTATGTTCAGTATGGAAATGGAACTTAACTGTATTTAATTAAATAAATAAATACTTTGCAGCTCCTACTAAACTGACTGAAATTAGTGTGGCAGTCACTGAATTTTGCTTCACTTAACTCATTTTAATTGCTATACCAGTAGTAGTTTTATCTTACTAAACAAAGATATGTCAACAACAACAACCACACAGTGTAGTTAAGTAAATTCAACTTACACCACTTTCATTTTGTGGAACATGAATTTATTTCCAGCAAAGCAAACTTTACAGCAACAGAGTGAAGTGCAATACTTGTTGTAGTTCAAGAATCAACCACCAGATGGCGTTTGTGATAATTTCTCTCTCTTATGGTTACTCTGCTGGATGGTTGAACACAAACTAACACATAAGATAGAGCAACAGGAACGGACTAATCACTAAAAGAACAATGCTGAAGCAGTTCGCTGAAATGATTAACAAACAGAAATCCTACCCACAATCCCTCACTGAAGCCACATGACAAACAGCCAAACACAGCAGAATAATGCAAATATATGAACTCTGGTTTGAATTTCCATATTAGTCAATATTTTCCACCTTCTTCACTGGTCTTGACAATTCACATTATTGCTGTAGCTTCTTGTGACAGAAGGTTATGGCAGACTTTCAGTATTTGACAACATAAAACCAACAAGAAATATTCACAAGTTATTTTTTTTCTGACTGGTCTGCAGATTTGTTTTGCACCATTTGTTTTGGATCAAAAGTCAAACAATTTGGTAATCCTGACTAAAATGTTTAATGTTTGAAAATGCTACTCATATATATTAACTAGCTTGGGCATAACCCCATTTATTTAATTCTACAATTCGATGAGTTCATTTTCTGAGTGTTGGACTTACTTCAGAAATCCACGAGCCAACTCATGACATGTCAGCAGGTAGTTATTAAACTCAGATCTTGACATTTTTCACACTCATTTTTGTGCAACAATTCTTCAATATCTGGGCTCCATCTGCTTGTTGTAATTTCGTAATATTCTCTCTTCTCACAAGTAATGACATTTCAAGAATCAGAGTGACATCGCTCTTCAAAGTCATTGTTAATGCTCCCCTAATACAATCTATTTTATGTAAGAGAGTCTGAAATTTATGACATTCTGGGACACAGAATGTCATGAAACTCCTGATTAAATCAAGGAGACTTGATTTAATCAGGTTTGCTGGAGTTGTTGTACAACCACAATAACCCCCTCACTCAAAAAGAGGAAAACAGAGACCAGTGAACAGCATGCGGTTACAGAAATAAAATAGGCATAAAATCAATGCATTTTGTCTGAGGCAAGCTCTAAGACATTGACTTATAAATATATTGGCCCTGGTGTGACGTACATTTGTTTTTTGTTGCCCCATGTTCACTTAAAGCCACTTCCAGAATGTAATCCACAGTCTCTGCATTTGCCAAATAAGAAATAGAAAAAAAAAACCTTTAAAATTTATGCATTTATTCCCATTGGAAAACAACAAAAAACTATTTTTGGATTTCATCTTAAATTAGGTACATTTTGCCTTACGTTGTGTTTTTGTCTTTGCATTAACTCTGGAACATTATAGTTCTGTCATAGTTGTCTTGAACCAGTATTGACTTAAATACTTTATTTTCTGAACTTTTTCGCAATTGAATACATACGAGTATATATCTTGTTAATCTGAATTGAGTATTGAAACTATCTTGGATTAAACCCCACTGACATTCAGCCTAAACAGCATCATCAGTATCCAGAGGTCGATTTCACTTCAGAATAAACGGCTGCGTCGGCTGCTGCTGGACTGGACCTTCCTGTAAAGGCAGAGAGGACTCAGGTGAGACAGTTACATGGACTAGGACAAAAGTGAAATAGATCTGAACCATGAAGGGAGAAAGTATTTAAGCTATCATGTAAAGTTAAAAAATTATTTAATTGTAAATATTTTTGTAAAAATCCATTTTTACTTCGACAATAAAGAATTTTGTTTTGTAATAGCTTGTCAAGTGAAATGTTGAATTTGAAATACTCAAATATTCAATTTAAAATGCCAAAGCAAACATTCCTATCGTCAACAAGTGTTTGGGTCGTGTCAAATTTTCTGGATGTTTTGAGTCCGTAAAGCCATGTGGGATTCTGATTAGTTAAAACTGATAAACATGACTAACAGGAACATCTTTAAGCTCAAACTAGGACAGAGAAAATGAAAGATGTTGAATCTGAGTGACTGAACCTGTAGTCTACACCCACAAGTATTGAAAGCTTCAGATATACTTTAAAAAAGTTCTGACGATTTCTAACCAAATCATGTCCAATGGTTACCGTTCCTGCTGACTAAACCTGCAGCTCCTGCTCTCACATTAGAATAAACAGCGCCCTCTTCTGGTGTGCAATGGCGACCTGATATAAAAAAAAATATATGATTTTCAAGAAGCTGCTTTTCTGAAAAACATCTTTAAGCACAGAACTGTTGGATGAACTCACTCTTGTTTCCAGAGTTTTTAAATTCAAGGAGAGAGTAGGTGATGTGTTGGTCGTCGTTTGCATCTGAAACACATCAAGATCTAATTTCAGTCATTTGGAATTGGCCTGTTATCAGCTTTATGTTGGATGTTTCAGTGTTGAAGCAGGTAACTTCACCATCTACAGGATCTTCAGAGGGTCTCACTGAGACATGCAAGTCAGATGCACCTAAAGTTAAAAAATAATATAAAACACAAATTATCTCCTTGTAGACTGACTTGTTTTAATTGTAATTAAATGAAGTTGAAACTTAAACAAAAAGTTGGTTTTATTAGAGTTTAGCTAATCATTTACCACCTAATTGATCTGAATGAGATACAAAGTCAAGGTTTGTAGATTGTGGCTTCTTTTTTCTTTCATTATCTTGTCACAAAAATCTTAACAAAGCTTACTTTGACAAAAAAAAAAAACTTAAACTAGACAATTCTAATAATTCTAATAATTTTGCAATATTATATTATTGTATTATTTACATTATGTATTCCACATACTTTTAAATGTTCAAAGCATTTTTAATCTGTTTTCTACCATAAGATTGTTAGCCGGTGGCCTAGATGTGATTTATGAAAACAACAAACTATATTTCAGAAGGAGATGAAAATCTCACCTTTGCGCTTTATGAAGCAACAGAGAAGCAGCAGAACAACAATGAGGACGACTACACAAGCCGGTCCAACAACCAACAGCACAGGAAATGAAGAGCGGCCATGTCTTGAAACATCTGTAAAATAGAGAATATTAAAAATGAGACTTTACGTAAATATGTTAATATTCTCATTGTTTAAAGCACATGCAACTTTAAACTCTGTTCACCTTTAACTCCCATCCAGCTCTGAGTTGAAACTTCTCCTGAATGTTCACACTTGTAGAAACCTTCATCTGACTGAGACACTGCAGAGATCTTCAGCTCTCCTCTGCTGTCATTTTGGATCAGTTTGTCATTATGATAGAAAATCACATCAGAAAGTTTGTTTTCTCCTCTCAGTCTGCAGCTCAGAGTAACAGAAGCTCCTTCAGTCACAGGATGGACGGGGCTCACCAGGAGAAGACCTTCATCTGGAAACCAGACAGAGAAAATGAAGCTTCAGTCAGAAATCAGCTGCTGGAGACAATTAGAGGACGTTACGGAGAATGAACATATATTTTGTTTGATATTTTAATTTTTTTTCCACACAATGTTAGATGAATTTAACAAAGTATAATCCACACAGTTACTGAAAATGTGTGAAGCATCTTTAACTTGAATTTAAAATTACAGATTTGTTAAAAGTGTGATGAACCAGAAACACAAAACATTGAACATTTTCCAGTAAATAATATTTTAATTAAAAGATAAATAAATGTTACATTTTGAAAAGACTTGATAAATTAAATGTATAAATTATTTTAAAAAACTGTTGGAATTAAAATAAATGAATGTTTTCAAAGTTCAATTTATTCTCTGATCTTCAAAACTATTGTGAGGCTCTGAGTTATTTATAATTATTCAAGTCTAAAATATTGTCTTCTTCTGCGATCATCAGATTGAATTT